AACGCGCTTCGGGCTGTTGACCCTCGTCAACGTTTTTTATTTTTCACATATTTCATTATATGGAATATATTTATGAATATCAAGTTTTAGAACAGATTTAAATTTACCAAAGTAAGGAATTGATTTGGATGTAGTCATCTCGATTACCATAACTATATTATAAGATTATAAACTCAAAAGGAGAGAGAGCTTCTTTTATAGAACATGTTTATTTCGCTATCTTTCCAACAAATTCGTTCTTCAACGGGCGTAAAGACAAAGTTGTCTTTACGCCCGTTGAAGAACGAATTTGTTGGAAAGATAGCGAAATAAACATGTTCTATAAAAGAAGCTCCTTTTGAGTTTATAATCTTATAATAAGGAATTGATTCATTTGCTTCAAATAATAATGTCATTCTTTCTGTGCGATATCTACCAATCAATATGTATATTAAAATGAACACAGATTGTTTAATATAAACTTTGAAAGCTTGATTATGCTTTTAGAATGTCTACACAATTCTGCATTTATAAATATTTACATTTTGTGAGAATATATTAACAGGGGCAATACATTTATCTTCAAGACACAATTTTTTTTAATATTATCCCTTATGTCATTACACAATGTCATGGAGATACATGTATCTTGTTTAGGATTAGTTGTGGTATAAGTCATGCTTTGTAACTCCCATACATGAGAGTAGATTGGTTGTTGCCTCCTCCTTTTTACATACACAGTAAAGGTTCAATAAATTAATCCCTTGTATCAATATTGAATAAAATTAATCAGATCTCGAGGGAAACTTTTCCCCGGAGACCTGATTAATTTTACTCACAGTGATGGTTGGTTTTGGAATTAATATTTCTCTCTCTGTGAATATATCGTCCCTACAACTGCAAACTATCGAATGTGAAAAATTCAATTTTGAAGGAGAGAGAAATGAAGAGACCATGTGGCCTACCCTCAGTAGAGGAAGGCATTGAAGGAGGGAGAAATGAAGAGACCATGTCATGGTCTCTTCATTTCTCCCTCCTTCAATGCCTTCCTCTACTGAGGGTAGGCCACATGGTCTCTTCATTTCTCTCTCCTTCAAAATTGAATTTTTCACATTCGATAGTTTGCAGTTGTAGGGACGATATTTACACAATAGTATATTTAATTAAAAAGGCATATATTGGATCAAAATATCATTTATTTTACCAATATTTCAGTTGGCTGAGCGCCAACCTTTATCAAGGTGTTATAACATATTTAATATGTGTCAACAACAAACTCAGCGCTACATAAATGTTGACACACATTAAATATGTTATAACACCTTGATAAAGGTTGGCGTTCAGCCAACTGACATTGGTAAAATAAATGATATTTTGATACAATATATGCCTTTTTAATTAAATATTTATTTATGAATTGCTCTATTTTCAAAACAATAGTATATGTGTTTCTTTTCTGCTGGCTCCTCGCACAGTTTCCAAACACACAAGACTTTGGTTTGATGGAATTCCCAGTTTTTTAGAGATTAGAGATATGAGTTTGTTGATTTTACTGATTTCCAGGATTAATTTTCAAATGCTAAACCATTAAGATAGAAGCAAGTAAATTATGTTGTTTATTTACGAATGATTTATATATTTGGATTTATTTATGAATTTAACTCAATAAGAACACTTTAAAAAGTGGATTTTTTTTTAAATCGCCGGTCCTCTGCTTTTTTTAAAGAAGAAGACTTGGTTATTTCATGTGTCTTCAATAAAGGTCACTGTGAATCAAATATCTTTCAGAAATATTGTCAGTATCCCGATATACAAACTAAAAGGTACAACTTCCTCAAGTTTTTTCCATGAGTGTATATGTTAATAAAAACTGCTTGTGCAAAATACGTCATAAAAATAAAAGAAAATAAATAATTGTAATGTACTTATTTCACTGTTTTATATTACTTCTATAACCTACAAAACAAGTATATTTAAAAAGGGAATATTGAATAGTCTCTCTGAGACTCGGAAAAATAGAAGAGAACTATTTTCCGTAAATCCTTTCAATTGGAAATATAAAAATCATAATTCGTCATTTTATTTATATAAGAATCATGGACAAAACTTAAGGAAGTTGTACCATTTAGCATGTATATTGGGATTAGGACAATAACTCTGAAATATATTTAATACACAATTATCTTTATTGAAGACACACGAGATAACCAAATGTGAACAAAATTTCGTATGTCTCCTTTAAATAAAGACGACCGGCAACATAAAAACTTTCTACTTCCTTAAGTTTGTCAACGAGTGTGTTTGCATCAACCCTCTACATTCCAGCATGTAGTTTTCATAGTTAGGTGCCTTTGATTAATCTATAAACTAAGAGCACTAATGAGGACTAGTTGTTGCCAACTCAGTCTATTTCTAACTTGGAATCGTACCAAATTGTCATCAACTTTCCTAACTGTGTGTTTATCCTGTGTTTAATGGATATCTACTTCATCTTCCTATTAAATACTGTTGCGACGATGTCCAAAGGAAGCTAAAAGCGTCCACCACCTGTGGACCGGGGGACAGATGGACCAATCAGAGTGAAGAAGCCTATCTGGCCAGGAGTGAAGTTATCCTCCCTGTTGTTGATAGCGTTTGTTGGATGATACTCTCTGTATGCTACTTGATTTGTTCTCCATAATACACTAAAAAAGATAAAGCGAATTCGAACAGAGATCCTTACCGATCCCGCGTGCTGAATTGACCACACTTGACATACCAACGGTATTACAATACGTTCAACTTGATCTATTTTTTTTTCCGGTTAAAAAAATCAATCCGTCTAATGAATATTGAGTTCTTGGCTATTTTTTCATGATACAAATGAACGTATTGTTATTTTACTTTATGGAAATTCTAAAGTTTTCGAGTGCCAAGTCGCTTTTCTAAAATATGAGAAGAAAGATGAACTATTATACACTCATGGACAAAACTTAAGGAAGTGGAAGTCCTTGATGTCCCCGGTCTATTTTTTTTTTGAAGGAGACAGAGACAATTTTGTTCACACTTGGTTATCTCGTGTATCTTCAATAAAGATCACTGTGTATCAAATATCTTTCAGAGTTATTGTATGAATTCCGATATACATGCTAAAAGGTACAACTCCCTCAAGTTTTGTCCATGAGTGTAAATATATGAAGAGATATTTGCCTGCCATTAGATAATCCCGTAGTAAAGCTCGAAATTTTACGATATTTATTTTGTCTCATAAAAATGAAAAAGAAATTAGTTATATTTTAGAATATTGATATTTACAATTAATTCTTTATTGTGCGTTTTATAAATCCTTTAACAGCTCTACCTAATATATATAGAAATATATATAATAAACTAGTTTTGAAAATAGAGCAATCCATATTCAATACATTAGATAATAAAAAGGCATATATTGCATTTATTAAAAGATTTATTTTGCCAATATTTCGGTTAGCTGAACGCCAAACCTTTATCAAGGCATTACATTTTTGTATACACAAACTCAGCGACGCTGAACGCCAACCGAAATATTGGCAAAATAAATCTTTTATTATAAATCCAATACATGCCTTTTTATTATATAATATAATAAACTATTAGATTTAGCCACTATTTTCTTATACATGAATGTGTCGAATCGCGTTTTTTGGCTTTAAATTGTTTGAAGTTTTGTTAGGTTTTCTTTGAATGTGTTTAATATGATCAATTCGTGCTAATGAACTTGAATACTTGAAGTTTATAAAGAATAAACATTTTAAAAAGTCCCAAAATACATATTTGCTAACTTATTTATATACATGCTTTAAAAATATTCATTTAAGCAAATACACTGTATAACAAAAAAATCGATGCACCAAGAAGGAGTTGTCAGATTAGGACAAAAATTGGTGTATGTAAAGAGCATGTATAGGGGAAAAAAAAAACGATTAAAATTTCAGAACAATAATTGTTTTATTCAGAGAGTTTGATCGTCACAAATTGAGAATGTCAATATGTCGTTGGACCCCCACTGGCCTGGATGCAGGCTGCCACCCGGCGTGTCATGGACTGATAAAGATTCCGGATGGTGTGCTGCGGGATTTCTTGCCAAATAAAATTGATGCAGTAAGGGAATGTCTGCAGGCGATCAAATTATTCTCGATATTAAAAAATATTTTAATAAAGATACATTTTGAGGAGAATGTGAATCAATGGTAGGCAGTTAGTGACTACTTTTACTGCAAGTGATTAAAATATTTAATATAATTTAATAGGTGAAATAATAATTTTACAAAAATTGTAAAAATAATTTAAAAAGGTCAGGTGTTGATATTAAAAACAAATTAGGCCTATCCTGATCACTAACATGAGTTTTTATAGATTACAGAGTGCCATCTAGTGGAACAGAAATCAACTAAACGTTGATTTAACCTGTTCCTCGATATTTGGTCAACCCATTTGCTTGATAAATCAAGAAAAGCCATCCATAAATAATTAAATATATGAAACATTCAAATCATTGACTCACGCTAGCAGGAAATCTTTTGTTTATATCTCTGATGTTGAGATTGACACATTCCCTGAAGTCTGTTATCAAACCTTGAAACATTTCAGGAACTACCTTATCTAAACTTCCATACACATCGATTTTATCCGAATATGTCATACGTTTACCATTTATATCAATATCATAGCATTATTGAGCGCCCCATCTATATATTGTAGTAAAATTAGGAAAGACAAACTTCAGACTTACGCAGCAATTTGTTTAAGGCACAAACTGAAATTTATAAAATACAAGAGAAGCAATAAGGGAAGTATCTTCTTCTTTCTTATCTCAAAGCCATGATAATCATGGTGGGTAGTTAGCGACTGCTTTTACTGTAAGCGCACCACATGTCTACACATGTGAAAAGCAGTTCGACTTTGCACTTACAAATGTGCCAGAGCCCCGTTTGGTTACTTGCACTCGCTGGTGGGGTTGGATTTTTGCAAGAATCGGGGGCCATTGGAGCATTTTTTTTAACAGGAAAAAATGTCCAATGCGGGAATCGAACCCGGGTCGTAATGGTCGAAAACCAAACGGTTTAACCAGCCTTCCACCTACCCCCCCATAAGGGAAGTATACAGAGTAGCGACATATAAATATCGAAATAAATAAATCTGTTTATAAAAATAAATATTTCCCTACAATATATATACTGTATATTAGATATAACCAAAAATTTAATTGATTTTAATGATTATATAGTTTCTCTCATATACCCTTTGGATTTATTCACCTGAGTTTTCAGAGATTTCCTTATAACTTTAAATATGAAAAATTACAAGAGAAGGAATCACCAGACATCATTTTGAAGAAGGAACAAAAGTTAACGACGACTTGTTTCTTTTATTAATGCTGTAAATTCAGCAAGATTTTCAAAAGTTGCCTGTCGAAGGACGTCAAAGTCCGAAAGCTGGCCGAATTTACAGCATTAATAAAAGAAACACGTCGCCGTTAACTTTTGTTTCTCCTTCAAGATGAAAAATTATACATATACAGTATATCGATATTGTATACATTAAAAACAAAATAGACATATCCTGACCACTAACATGAACTTTATAGATGGCAGAGCGCTATTTAGTTGAACAGAAATCAACTCTACTCTGATTTAACCCGTTCCTTTTTATTTGGAAAACCCATTTTCTTGATAAATCAAGAAAATCCTACCAGGAATTTTTTTCACGTATTATACGTTTTGAAAATAGAGCAATCCATAAATAGATATTTAATTGAAAAGGCATATATTGGATCAAAATATAATTTATTTTACCAATATTTCAGTCGTATATGTGGATAAAAGCCAACCTTTTTCAAGGTATATTACAACATATGAAAACTTAACATTAACTTAACATTTTAACATGTTATTTGTATTGGGGGTCGGTGGAAGGATGGTCTATACCGTTGGTTTTCGACCGATACGACCCGGGTTCGATTCCCGCATTGGGCACTTTTTCTGATAAAAAAAAAATGCCCCGATTCTCGCAAAAGTCCAACCTCACCAGCGAGTGCAAGTGACCAAACGGGGCTCTGGCATATTTGTAAGTGCAAAGTCGAACAGCTTTTCTCATATGTAGACATGTGGTGCAGCAGCCGCCTACTACCCACCATGATTATCATGGCCTGTACCACGTGTACTAGGGATAAGCAAAAAAAAAAAAACAAAAAAAAAAACTTAATTCTATTGACGTTATGTGACGCTGATCTTGTTGTTGACACATTAATATGTTATAATACCTTGATAAAATTTGGCGTTCAGCCAACTGAAATATTGTTTAAAAAATTATATTTTGATCCAATAATAAGCCTTTTTAATTAAATATTATACATTATATATATACAGAGATGTAATATAGATATGGATTTGTTTGCTTTCGAATCAACTCTGTCCGTATCAGTCCTAGCAATCACTTGAGTCCAACAATGGAGATTATCTTACTTGGGTCAACTGATGGGACAACTGTTTCTCAAGACGTCACGATATCTTGAGTACATATTGGTGGATGATCGTTTTTATCGTATCTTTATGGACAGTCTGTTCGGCTTTTTTACCGCAGATTCTTCAAATTTATTTATCGTTTGTTAATGATAGTGATGGACCTTTGACATACGTATCTGATACAGTGTTCCAATTTGTTTGGTTCTGACGTAAGGTCAGCTCTCCCTAGTTGGATGATAAGATATTCCACGTGATGGCACGTGTTGAATTCGGCTTTTGTTTATGTGCTTGGAGACCTTATAAACTAAGTTATCAAACATGTTGTGAGCAAACCTTTATAAACACTTCTAACGTTTTCTTTACAAAAATGATTAATATAATCTGTCACCCGAATGTAACAGTCGTCGTTGACATAAGCTAATCTGATTATATTGAAAAATAATGATATTTGCATATATACGCTATATATATTCTTTCTGTCTATATAAATATCATATTTTATCATTTTTTGTTGTATTGTCTTTTACTTTTATTTTCGTGTATATATATGTTTGTTCCTCATAAAATCCATACAATATTTAACCTATATATATTTGTAATTTGATAAGATATATATATAATTAGTTTTGGAAATAAATAACTATCATATTTTTTTTTTACATTTCGGAATATGCAAATTAGTCAAATTACGGAATTTTGAATATTCTTTTGAGTCTGAAAAGAACGATGATAAATAATATATTAATACATTTCTATCTTAATTATATTTGTGTGTGTGTTGTGGGTTAATAAAAAAAAAAACGATAAATCTTTATTGGGAAATACTATTCTTTGGGAAAACCTTCTCTTGGGGGTAGAATAGGAGTTATTAGGTAAGGCATATTAAAATATCTCCTAATTAATGATTGAAATTGATAGGAATTAGTTCATTGAAGTTTCAAATTTCTTGTGACTTTTACATGTATTATAAAAGTGCATACAAATTTAAATAGGGGTGTGATAAAAGTAATGAAACTGTTCTGAAAAATGAATATTTCATCTTTGAATGAATTATCTAGCAGAACACTTGAAAATCTAGTATTAAAATTATTTCAAATATCATATTACTCTGTTCGAACATATGCCAAACAAGATCTTTATAAGCAATATTTTAGTAATGAAAGCATAAAACTACACTCATGGACAAAACTTAAGGAAGTTGTACCTTTTACCATGTATATCGGGATTCAGATAATAACTCTCAAAGATATCTGATATACAGTGATCTTTATTGAAGACATACGAGATAACCAAGTGTGAACAAAATTGCCTCTGTCTCTTTAAACAAAAAAAAAACAAAAAACTTTCTATTATATTATTTTATTTGTAGAATCGATAATTAATTTGCAAGATTTGAAATTGAAGGAGTAGCGAAGAGGAATTATAGGTGTGGGACGAGGGGAAAATCTCGCCACATACAACCCTCGGGACAGTCCTGCCTACCTGTCATGGGTAAGATACTCTCTGAGATGGCGAAGAGACCAATATTTAAAGTAAAGGAACTCTTCAAAATCGAATAAAAGCCCGTGAATAAAGTTTCTAGGCTACGAAGGACGGTAAAAGAGGCCGTGTTAGCCATGTTGACAGTGGCGTCTGAAGAGACAACTATCACTCGACTGTCCAGAGATAAGTTGTCGGAATTGTGGGCGACACCAAGGTCTGCTGGTGCTACAGCGAAAAGCTGAAAGAAATTTTGAAAAAAAATTCGAAATTATTCTCTCTCCCATCTCTCTCTCAGAAGAACTTTTCCTTTTACAAATAAAACTAAGTTCTTATTGTTTTTCGCTCTGCCATCTAAAATTCTCTTGTGAGCGGTCAGGATATGATTTTAAAAAAAAATATTCTTGGAGAAGTCTGAATCATTAGTGGCGAACTATCTGTTTGGATAGATAAATGAATTTGATTGATTTTTTTAATTTTTGCACATGTTTTAAGAAACTATACTTATCTTAAACACAAGGTAATAACACCAAATTTAAATATTATTATTAATAATTATATTATTTATATTAAGATGCATTAGCGCGTCATCTGTTATCAAAATTCGAAACTATTATAGACGTGTATGATTCTTTTTAAAATTAAAAAAAGTAGGGCAGTAGAAATTGTTTATTTTTAAAAGGAATCATACGCGTCTATAATAGTTTCGAATATTATTTATATAATTAATCTTATTACCTTATGTTTTTTTCAATCTATAATCCAAGTTGAATATCTCATCAAATTTATTCTACTAATTAGGAGACTGATCAAAATATGACTCAAATGTTGCATGGACAATACTTGGTTGAAGCCAAAATCTATTCGGCTAGGTAGAATATATTAATAAGTTTTATAATGTGAAAAAATAATATACCCATTGTTTAAACCCATTTTTTAAACAATACGCATCGTAATTATGTAAATATATAAACATGTTCTAGGGTTATCATTATGTAAATGTTCTACAATGTGCAACACAACCTTCCTCACATATTATCATGTTTTTTTTTTCGTTGGTGCTCTTTAATTTTGAAGAAAACTATATCAAAAATAACTAACAATTTTTTCATGTAGCTACATTGTAGCAACATAGCTTCTCAGTCTTTTGCTAAGATAAAAGTGTAGTGTAACGACATTAGTAAAAAATTAAAAGATAAATCTTTTGGTTGACCAAATATCAGGCAACAGGTTAAATCAACGTTTGGTTTATCTCTTTTCCACTAGATGGCGCTCTTCCACCTAAAAAAACGTTCATGTTAGTGGTCAGGATATGTCTAATTTGTTTTTTTTTCTTAATAATAAATTATAATAACTAATAAACCCCTTCTAAAAATTATTATCGAATTTATTTGTGTCAGAAGTATAGAAGAATATGTTGTTAAAAATTTTAAAAAATAATTTGGTTGTTTTCATCGATTGACTTAACAAGTTTGCTCAAAATTATTATTTTTAGATAAGCGTTGTATAAGCTAACGCCATATAAGATTGGTCCATATAACCAAAGTATATTTTGTCCCATGTGAATCCCTCTAAACCTAACTCCATCCATCCAGAATCAATGACTCACCAAAGAATTCCTCCATTTGAATTCTCCTAGATACCTTTCAAGCGGAGAATTAAGAAGTTTGGGACCCAAGAGAACGTGACTTCCAATTCTACAACCATCTTAAGAGGCCCCCTCTTCTTCCCTGGGGAATTTTGCTGAAATATTTCAAACTCTCTCTTCACAACCTTCCTATCATTATTTGTCTTGAGTATACTTGTCGGATATATATGGTTTTTCTCGTATATTTAAATATTAATATGACGCAATAGCGTATACCATCTGTTATAAAAAATGTAAACTATTTTTAGCGCGTATGGTTCTTTTTAAAATAAATCAATTGCAGTAAAGGTAGTAGATAATTGAATTATACGAGTCAAAATAGTTTAAATTTCTTATATTTAAATATCTGAAAAAATGATAGAAAAAAAAATAAAATAAAAAAGCCAAGTGTTGATATTAAAACATTATTTTGAAAGTAAAATTGAGAGCTACTTCATCATATATTCTTCATTCGTATACATCTATAAAAATATATTTTTATCATACTATTTAATTTTA